AAGAGTGCTTTCTGATAAACCTGAAGCTTTTGAACATCGATTTTCATCCCGCCTTTTAACAATTTAAACGCCATGGTGGTCACCAGTGACTGTTAATAGTGGATTTGCCTTCAACAGTTGGTTGGCAGTCTAAACCTTGGAGTGGAGATTACAGCAAAACCTTCTTATGTAGAGAAGATCCATAATCTGGCAATGGACGGCCACAGGCTATTGAAAACGAGATGCTAATCTACTAGTTGGAAATACGCGAGTAAATGAAATATGTAAATACACAAATGTATGCAAATCCTAAAATGTTTCGACAGGCACGCTGTGTGTTTATGAGATGTTTAGGTTCTAATGAAAGTTGTTGTGTCTATAGTTGCTTTGTTTTAGTCTTGTTGCGTCTTGTAAAATAGGTAGTTTACAGGTTTTGGTTTTGTTTTGGCTGCATATCGATTTCTTTTTTTCTTAAACAGTAACTTGCTTGAAATAAGAACTACACCATTCTTTCGGGCCAAATGCAAGCCATGTTTTTAAAGAGAAATATGACGGATATGTTAGGTTTAGTAAAGTAAATATTGTACCCAATATTTTTTTCATAAACTACGTTAAAAGGAACTACTAAACTACGTTTTTTGAAGGTAGTCAACTCTTAAGTGTAGCAAACGTTTTTCTGAACACCGCATCAAATTGGTTCCAGCCAATCTCGAGATATTCGCGCACAAACATACATACAGGCCAAACTGAGACCTCCTTTTTTGAAGTTGGACAAAAATGGATACACTTACATTACATAGGTGTAGATTATTATATACAGAATGCTACTAGGTCAAGTTTAAGTTAAACACGTTTTTCAAGAACTGTCGCCCTACTATTCTCGTTTTCCTTATGCACTACGAAAATAAGTGCGCACAAGATTTTTCGGAGAATTAAATGCCATTAAATGCATGTTTCTCAAGGCAAGCAGTTAAAAGTACTTAAAGTTGAACAATTGTTGTAAAAACGACAAGGAAGATATTAAACAGATGAACAATATTACTTCCAATGACCTTCAGAGCAAAATATAATAAGTAATAGACGTGTTCAATGCCAATTTAGTCATGGAGCAAAACTTGGTCATAATGCATGTAATGGATTATATAAAAACCATTCTAAAAATAAAAGATACCTAGTCTTAGTCTGCTTCGTGCGTCTAGAATTGAAAACTTAAAGATTGGAGCTTGGGGCCGATTTGATCGAGCAAACAAAAAAAGGTGTGCTGGGTATTTTCGTGGAAAAAATACCGTCTGGAATCTCGCGGTGTTTGACCTTGTATCTTGGAGTCGTAAAGGTATCCCGAAACGTACGTCGTATGAAACGTACGACACTTGTTAGGGTATATAAAACGCCTGTAAAACTTCCAACAGGTGTAATAAAGAATGAATCGTATCTGGTTTTGTGGAGGTTTAATGTCAATAGCTTGGTATAAAAAAAAGTATCCTTACTTAATCTATCATCTTTTGAGTGGTAATGTAATTGAAGAAGTCTCAGTCTCATTCTTCCATTTGCTATATAAGATTTTGCAGTCTTTTAAATCTGTAATAGGTATCATGTTATTATCCTCAAATCAGTTAGAAGATGTCTACTGCTGAACACGAGTCCCCAATGACAATGTCATACAATACATTATTATCATCCATCGAGTATTATATTGCATTAAATGCAGTCTGACAACAAAGAGATCTGACATAATTAACACTGTAGAAAACAAACTAATTATCATACCACAACTTGCGACTGATATTCCTAATTCAGATCAAACAACATTCATTCCCAAGTAAGGAATACAGAGAACAAAAAAGACTATCGTAAAATGAGGATATTTATAGATTTCCCACAGTTTGCAGACATAACTAGGACAAAGAACCTGGGTGTCTTGCAAGGCCCGAGTGAATAGGTTGCTTATGGGACGACGTGCTCCATCGTAGACTGCATCATCGCATACCACCAGGCGAGATAGTGGCCAAACGTAGGCCCATCAAATATATACATAAAAAAAAGAATTTATATACTGACCAGCCAATAACAAATACTATGATCAGGTAAACAAATAAATGAATCGTATAAATGCATATCTGTTTTGACTCTTTGTGCCTATAAGTTGACTGACTGACTCACACTCCTGACTCAACAGCACTTTCATAAAATGCATGATATACTAGGGTTTATCTTTCCGCTCAAGATATGAGATGAGTTAAGACAATGAGTGCCTGTACTTCAATGTCCAATTACATTAGTATTTTATGGCTAATCAGATGTGGACTGATGTAGATTCTTCGGAGATTAGTTGAGAGATATCTTTGTTTTGTATTTATAGTGGCACAGCTTTTGTTAGCCAGGTACGGTATAAGTATTATATTCTTTCAAATTGTATATTTAATTTATGTGTATTAGCATTGGCCGAGTGGTCGCAAGTGCGACTGCTGGGCAGAGGTCTCGGGTTCGATTCCCGGGTCGGGCAAAGTTGTGCTGGGTTTTTTAAATAATTCTCTGTAGTGGCAGAGTCTGGAATTGTGTTCGGTATATGGCAATACGCTCTCCCCCTATTACATAGGACTCGTAGCATAAATAGTGAAAAGTGGGTGTTACATTGTACAATAGCATTAAGTGTTGTTATGTGCACCTTTGCCTACCCCTTCAGGGATAACGAGCGTGATGTTATGTGTATTAGAAACAACAGATGTAAAAAAGTATTATAATAGTTAAGTAACTACTCTCAACTGTGTGCTTGAACAATTAGTTGCATTAAACAATGTTAGGTAAACAATTATACTTAAAGCTGCACTCTACGGTTTCTGTCAACCACCATAGAATAAAGGCATACCTTAAAATGTATGTATGTAAATACATAAGTAAATAGAAACCTATAAATCACGTCAACTTAAACCCATGAGTAAGTAATGGTGAAATAAAATAAATAACTGTACATTTATGTTGTCATTACAACCGTGTGTTAAAGTACACAAAGGAGCTGACAAGTACACCTGTCCAGTTCAGTTAAATTATTTAGAAGCAGTAGTATATGGCTGTATGCCATAGAAATAGGTATTTCTTTGTTTACGGTGAATATGGTAAACTAAGTATATGATTGGATGAGTGGAAATTTCATACAAAGGTTCAGTGGAATGTAGAATTATTGGTGTCTGTTTTCCTTGAACCTTTACAGTTCAGTGACTTGAGCCTGAACAATGTTTCCTATTGAACCTATTTACTACCTCAGTTGGTAAAAGCAATAAATCATTCTCATATTGTTTCTTTGAAATTCTTAAATAACTGATTCTATGTCAGTAATTGATACAATTAATTTAAAGGCTTTCATCCAGCTTTGCACAGATGTTAACTTACGATTATATATATAACACAACATCAACCCTTTTATCTCCGAAAGGGTAGGCAGAGGTGCACATTACAGCACTTAACACACTGTACAATGAAACTCACATTTTTCACGATTCAATAAATCAGAATATCTCTGTTCAAAACTCAGGCTGTTGAAACCTCCCTAGCATAAAGGTGTCATAGAAGATAGAACTAAGATACCTATTTAATATTATAATGATATGGTAATGCTAATAAGATAACAGATTCATATAAGATTCTTATCAGACAGTTTTATTACTCTTGCAGCAAGCTCTGAGATAAGAGTTTAGCGTCACTGAATTACAAATTACATGTAATTTTATATTGTTATCATACTGAAGGATTTTAGGATTATGAAATGCATAATGAATATAATAAGACAATCATGTTGTAACTGATAAAATAGAACAATAAAGTAATTTTGTAGTGGTTTTAACATGTCTGTGATTGTTTTACTAATAAAAGAATAATAAAGTAACTTAGTACCTATTGGTTTTAACATGTTTATTATTGATTGCCTTACAATAGTCAATGAAAAGTATAAAATTCTGTTCTACATTGAATAGTATGAACAAATTATTTAGTTTCTAAGTTCTAAAAAGTATTCTAACAAGCATGTTCTTGTTTAATCTGTCAAACACCAAGCGGTCACCGGTGACCGCGACCTATTGTTCTTTAATTGTGTCTATAAAACCGGTACTCGACGAGTTAATTGGAGTTTAAGAAGTTAAATAGGATAAATCGTTATAAATTTATACTAATGACATAAAAGGGAAGTTAACTATAAAAATAAGTATTAAATGTGTTATTAATGATACCTGCATATTAATTACATCTATACCTGTTTATAGAGAAACAACAGGTGAATTATGTAGTCACTCAACACATATTTATATTGACAAAATGATTTGTGGATCTTAATCTAAAATTTCAACTTAATAATATTTAGATGAGAGCCATATTATAATTATGTTGTTAGTTGTATGCTCTTATGAGTAACTGTATTAACTCTCTTTATTCCGAAGCAAGTTTTGTTGTGTTTTTACCTGATTTAGTGTAACTTGTAACAATGTCTTTGTAAACGAGGTGTCTCATGTGTCCTTTTGTCCGTTCATGATTCATAACTTTTCTCTTCAATGTAGATTAACTGTACACTAAATAATAAACTGCACTTGTGATTCAATTATATTTAAAGTAATCTTTTAATGTTACGTTTGATAATAAACAAATATAATTTATTAAAATATTTGTTGCACTTATAAGAAAAATCACCTACCTACCCACTTTGAGTTGATTAATCAATAAAAAAAATATTTGTATGTCATATGTAGAATTTCAATAAGATACAAAGAGTAAAGATAAAAGTCTGTTATTTTGAAAGTACTATAGTCAATGTGTGGTCTAAGCACAGGCCAGTACAAACACAGATAACCTAAATTGAAACAAAAAAGGACATAAACAAAACGAACATGGAAAATTATGTGAACGCTGCGGGTGGCCTTCCGCCTTCTTGTCGATCGCACAACTAATTAGCACCACAGCTTATCATAAAAGGAAACGTTCATATTCAAGGTAAGCAGCCGACCAAGTACTTCGAGATGCAATCGAGTGGTACTCACCAGTTGCCACTTGGACTTGCGTGTAGGGTCCGCGATGGTGATGAGCAGTCTATGGATCATCTGCACGGTGCCTTCGTAGTACACCAGCGCCGACTCATAGTTCCCCATCAGTGCCATCTCCCTCGCCAACTTCGTGTTCTCGCAAATTTCGCCAACAGAAACTGCCATTATTGTCATTCCCGCTGCGTACATGTAACTTATCCACAATGAAAACGATACGGTTCTTCGTAGAGACGGAGACCCCTTCGAAGATTACAATCGCGTGTGACATCCAATAAATCCGAATGTAACACTTCGCATTTTCACAACATGATCCACACGACTTTCATTATGTTTATGCGTTATTCACTTGACACATTGCAAATGTAGGTTTACATGTGGTACTACTTATCTCATGATTTCGCTGAATTTATAAAACTATGACCATATTTTTGTGACAAAACAAACTTATCAATTTAGTTCGACAGTTCACAGTCACAATCGCAAGTCAACTGCCAACCTAAATCAATTAACCAATGACGAACTCGTAATGTTAGTTTGTGAAAGTTGGTCCCCCTGAAGATGGGTTCGTTTTCTATTACAGAAATAAAACGGACGATAGTGTTGTATAAAATTAATCGACTAAATTGTTATTTTTTTATTTTACTTGTCAAATGAGCCCAGCCATCATAGACCTTATAGTTAAGATATAAGGTCTTTGTTAGCGATACGACACGACCTCCAAAGCTTCGAGACAGTAGCGTGTTCTAAACTATTCGTCTATTTTATTTTGTACTCTACTGTTACTTACTCTACTGTATTGTGGAGTTCTAAAGCCAGTTGAATCTCCTATGAGCAGCTATAGATTTTAGAGTCTTATGACGTACAACTTATTTACAGTCGTATGAAAGTAGCAAGGATTCGAGAGATGGGGGTGCAAATGAAAGTTGCGTATTTTTTTCTAGATGAAAAAATCTATTTAGGTCTCATGATTTATAACTTTATTTATGTTTTCTACGTCTACCCCTCGTGGCATGGTTCTTTCGTGTATCGTTCAGCAGCTCTCTGCCATCTCTCTGCAGTCGGGGTAATGTTGTTTTCAGTGGCTTAATTCTTGAGCACGGTATTAGTCTTTCTAATATTACGATTGCTTGTTAGTTGGATAATTATTTACGATTAAGGAGCATGATAGGAGTAACACATAACTGTCATTACTGTCAAGGTTTGAGGAAAATAAAACAGTGACGCTAACAATAAACGATATATTCGTAGTTTTAAATATAATACATAGTATGAAACAAAAATACAATCTGCAGTTATACAGTACATACGTCTATTTACATTAACACCTCTCTTCATATCGTCACCTAGCAAAGTATGGTCAACCATTACAAGTTACAAAACCAAATGAAAATAAATCTTTCACATTTTTCGACATTGTGTTAATCAAAACTTCTACAGTCATATTTTTTTTACTAATTTTTCCATTTATTTCTGTTTTACTACCAATAAATGTCAAAATATCAATAAATACAATGATTACTAATAAGACCCGACTTAGGCGATTATTTTTAACTCACATTTTAGTCAAACCACCGATGTAGGGTTGGTAGGGTACTTACAAAATCAAAATAAATACATTTTTATGGAAATCTCAATAACTTAATGAAAACTACATACGTAACCAACTATAATCATAATATATTTACCCTAACCATGCTACAAGATAAAAATAATGAATGACATTTCATTAAGTTGCAACACTGACAAAAAAATGTTACCAGCAATAAGTTTGCAAATTATTGAAATGCAATCTTTACCAAATGTCTAAGCTCCTTATAGTTAAAAAATAAAAAAAATATGTCATACCTATTGAGTATACTTATCTTTCTTTGTCAAATACAGTCATACATGTTTATTTGACTGTGGAAGTGCTGCGAACACAGTTGGCTAGTTGCATTGCTTTTAGTTAAATAATTACTATGATGGCTAGCATTAGTAACTAAACAGATTGTGTATCTACATCAAATTATTCTTTGGATAACTTACTCTAGACAAAGCTCATAAATATTCGTGACGCTATTTAAAATGGTAATCGGAGTATAGGGATGTATATTTACCAAGTGTCACATTGCCATTTAATTGATTTCATAATCAATAATGTGTTTTACGGCCAGTCTTGCCAATCTAGTTATTACTAGATTACTCAACAACTTTCAGATTAGATTTAGTTGAAAGAGAGAATTCTGGCTGTAGTTATAAATCTACCGACATGTCCGTTAGGTGTTAGTCCAAACCATTAGTCAAACTAAACAGACTAGACATTTAGCAGTACGTATTAGTACCTAGTGCGAGTTTGTTTTATGTTAGCGCCATCGACCCGTTTATGACATTCGGCGCTCTGATTGGCTGCTCTTAAGTTAACCAACTAATTCGAATACTAATCGCAGTAACGTTTCCATCGCGTAACTGTTAAGACAAGCTCTTACAAGTACCCTAATGGCATAGGTTATTCATGAAATATGTTAACATACAAATAAACATCCCCTATACTTTAAATTCCATTTTAAACCAAAATACACATAACTACAATCCTATGTACCTAAAAGAAATATATAAACCAAAATCTTACAATAATTATATGCACCAGAATAACTTAGTTGAGATTATAACAAGATATACAAAGAAACTTAACTTGAACATATTATGAAGAATTTGGTGTAACAACTATTTGTATATATGTATATCCAGCACCAAATTGTATATACAACTTATATGCACAGAAGAGACAAGATGGAGACTAGGTAGATCAATCGTTGTGGCGAAATTAATATGGCGTTGATTGAATATTACGTAAAATGTAGTAAAATCCTTTAGGAGAGAAGGTCTCTAAGTTTTATTTTCAAGATGTAAAGATCTCATGTAAAGATTCCGGACCAATCCAAAAAGTGGAGATTTAGAATTTCCGCTCTTTTTTTAGTATATTGTGTGCAGTAAAGTTTTTCTTTTTATGTATTTTATGGTCGGTAAAAGTTAGGATATAAAACCTGGAGACACTTTCTATGCTGAATGTTTTTTCAAAATCCCTGATTCATATTTCCTGATCAGGTAAATCAAGTAAAACATTTTATAGTGTCAGAAACACGATAATAAGAACTAACATTTAGCGTTCCCAAAAGAAGTAAAAGCGATAAAATTTCGATCAAAAGACGTAAAGCATAAGACTTAAAATTGAGTTTATAAATTATTTCCTACATTAAAATCTGTCGAGTCATCACCAAAAATAACTGTTCGTACAAGAACACTACGTCACATTTCTAACACATAGCTAGCTATATAATTATTTACCTACATGTACGTGAAATAAGATCTAATATTGAATGTATGAGTGGTATGCGGCATAAGCATTGTTTCCCTGTAAGTTTATTTAGCTTTAAACTTTACTATAGTAAGAAAATATTAATAAAAATGAAAGTTAATTGTCTTTTTTTGTAAATATATTGAAGATTTGTTTATGAAAGTTCATGTATTGAAAGTAATAAGAATAATATTTGAGACAATATGGCACAAGGGTGGAAAAAATATATCACAAATGCTTTAAAACTGTTTTAAGTAGTATTCAAGGCATTTTTACAGTAAAGTCTGGAAATCAACACAATCCAAATTCTGATGTTGAATCCAATTTATAAAGAGTGTTAACAGAACGCTCCCAAAAACGACAGGTGATTGTGAAAACATGTTTTATTTTCAGAAAAATAAGGAATTAACCCATCGTGTGTCTAAACATGGATCCACGCGAGACACAATGTATTTTCTATTGTGTCTCATATACGGGCATTCAAGCGGTTAAATTAAGAAGGGATCATACCGTTTACACCCTGTAGGTATCATTATTTCAAGAGTTGAAAATACCCAACAATACTTACGACAACTGAACTAATAACTTATATTTACAGTTAAGTGGCATTTGTGATTCATTTCTTCTATGAACGAAGCCAAAGCAACAATAAATGTAACTGCAAGAATGTATTACATAGACGAGATGATCCACGCTTAACAAATCTGGAAAGATTGTATGTATACCAGTTACACCTCGAAAATACCGCACTTTATGAATTAAAAACTTCAATTCTAAGTCTTAAAATACTCCATTATAACATGATTGTATTGTATATACCTAATGAATAGGAGAAATGAATATGGGCTATATTTCGTTTCATTTCCCACTATATTTTTCATGCTAAACTGAAGGGCAGTCTTAATCCTTGTATTACTTGTCGCGGAGAACCTAACGGGTAACCGGGGCTCCGGCTCGACGTGCAGGAGAAGGAACGGGGTGGTTTTTAGTCAGTAAGAGTCTGACACTCCCTCCTGCCTCACTCGGGAGCAGTCATTCGATGATTTTCCCCCCTTAAAAAAATACTTGTATTACTTGTTAGAGAATTCTAAAAATTGACGGTTAAACTTTCCTTCCAAATTCTTAAGCCGTGGATCACTCGATATATAATTTTAATGACAATATAATAGGATTACAATAATATATACCCATATAACCTCACGTAGCGTATGTATCACATGTGGTGGTCCGTTTCTTAGTCACATAGAATTCAGTAAGCAGTACTATTACACTTACTTATTATACTGAATGGCTTGAACATTGGTATATTTTCAAGGATTGTAGGTTCAGTAAGCTGCGCGACGTCGCCACGAGCGAGCACGCTGCTCGTGAGGAAGAACCCCTCTATGGTTCGAAACTAGTAGAGCTTTTCTCAGTATATTCACGTGGGTAGTATAAGTTTGCAAGGCTAAATTTTAAGGAACTCCTAAGATAAGATAGGTGACAATTAACGATATTTTGTTTTACCATTTTGTGCTACGTTACGCTAAGTAACTTTTAGTTAGGATATTGTTTATGGCTGGTAGTTGAAAACGGCCATAAGACGGACTGTTTTATTTAATACTAGCTTTTACCCGCGGCTTCGCTCGCGTCACAAAAGGATAAAAGTAGCCTATGTGACATATACCAATACATACAGCGTCATCTATACCACTACTTTTGTTTTCCCTCGGGAATATCAAATTTTTCCGGGATAAAAAGTACCCTATTACTTAATCCGAACTTCTAACTTTACGTCTGCAAAAATTCAAAGCAATTTTAGTAGTTACGGCGTGAAAGCGGAACAAACAAACAAACTCACTTTCCGATTTATAATATAAGTAGGGAAGTAAGGATTTGTTTTATAACACCCATTAATAAAGAATGGCGATACTGGTCTCATGCTATACACTCAATACGTTAAGAAATTCTGTGCTGCTACTAGGAATTATGAAAATCAGAAACGAGCCGACAAATCACCTGATGGTAAGCGATCACCGCCGCTTGTGGACACTCGCAAACTTGCAAGAGGTCACAAGAGTGTTGTCCGCCGTTTAATGAATATGTTTTTAAGTTTAAGTTTTGATTTCATGGATTGCTAATCCATAAAAATGTACCAATGACATAACCATATATTTTATTAAATTTTTTCTTACAAGAAAATATTTTTTTACAATACTTATCGAAGCTTTTTTATTAACTTCAAATAGATTTTAGTGGTAGTATTTTGTTTCTTTTTATATGGATTATAATGAGCATTATTTTACGTGAGTTTTGTGCGTTTTGTAAGAGCACATTGAATAAGGCTGGCAATCTCAACATTATAGCAACAGAAGTTGGTCGTTAAGTAGCGAATTTCTTTAATACATTTTCAACTGTATACTATTTGGAAGAAAGTTGAGAATTGATTAATGAAATCGACGACTTAGCGATCAATTTTACAGATTGTTTGTTACTTTTGTTAAGACTGCTAACCCAGATGGTGTGAAACCACGTTTTATTAAAAATAATGTCCACATAACATCCATGAAGTTTATAGTCTTTTACGCCATACAATATTAAATATACATTTAAAATACTTTTAAGCATACAAATAATTCGTTTGTCTCTAACACGAAACACCAATGTAGGTATAATTATCAATTTTTATTAATTTATTTAAATATTAACATTTAAGAATACATAGAACATATTTATTGAGCCTGGCAATGTAATAACATTTCGAAAAAACGCAATGGACGTATTTGTTTTCACAATCTATGTATTTTGACAGTTCTAGTGTTGTTCATTTTAGTCGATTTTTTAAATAGTAAGTTTTATGTTCTTCAAAACAAGATATAACTCGCAAGTATTTTTTACTGTCTTTTAAATGCTTGGAAATCATTGTTTATTTTTTTTCTATAAAATCTAGCGAGTTTAATTATGATGCTCATAGAATTCGGGTCTATGACTTACGTTTAGTTAGCTATGACGTCTAGATGTTCCTTGGGCATAGGTGGTAGGACATGGACTTGCTTCGCTTTGCCCGCGTGGTAGACTTGGCCGGGGCTGAACGGTTCCAGTCGAGGATGCGCAGAAATATCTTTCTTTGGATCTGAAAATTGGAAATTGTGGGATATTTGTGGTTAGATTTTGTTTTTAAGGAGATGTGAGAAGAATGGTATACTATAGATAAGATTTAATGAGCAAATAAGTATTAAAAATCAAACCAATTCTTATAATTTCATTTTAAAGTCAACTTCACCAAAACCACTGATACCACCGACATTTATTTGTATCTATTTAAAACTCAATAGTAACGTATTGGCAAAGTCCTAGAGAGTGTGTTTACCTTTGGTATTAGCAGCGATGTACTTGGACAGTCGGACAGTGGGGAGCGGCAGGTAGCCGGCCACTAGTGGCATCACGTCCAGCGTCACGGTCTGGGGCTCCGTGCTAGTACACTCCATTGTCAGCACTCCTGGAATGGAATAGAATATACTTTGTAGCTCTTTATGGGATAGGTAGCAAAGAAGCAGACAGAGACACGAGTGGGCAAGGTTAGAGAAGTTACGTTAAGTGTGTTGCGAACTGTTATTGGGTTCATGTTGGGATCTAGCATCAAATAATATGTCGCTATTTACCTGCAGTCCGGCCCAGCACCGCCCACATTGTCTGATCAGCAAGCACTTCGTACATAAGCGACGTGTATTCCGTTTCGTTCACCTGAAATGATCAAGTTGTAGTCATCCCTATAATGTGGAACTACATACATTAATATCACGCTTTATGCAGAGGTATAAATATTGTGTTAAATCCACTTTAGGGAATAAGGTAATATGCAGGGCAATACTCGGGAATCAGACAGAAAACGCCTTGCATAGTGGTTGAGCAAATGCCACGCATGACCACATGCGGTTATGTGGCAAACGAAGCAGACGATGGAATTAGTAATTTAACAAAATACAACTCACCCTTTGCACACTAAGCTGTAAACAGCACATTTGCGAAGCCCTGCAAAAGTCAGAACCCTTACTAGGTTCCAACTTCGTCCTAATTACAAACAACGTAGTATAGTCCTGTATATCGAAAGGACATGTGAATGGTCTGCCAGGACCTTCCACGTCTGAAGGTCGGTAGTGCACTGAGAAGGTTGCTTTCATTGGACCTCCTTTGACGAGGGGGTCTTTTAGAAGTTCCCACATGAATGAAGCTGTTGTACCATCTGACGCTACCATCTGGAATATTTAAACGTAAGTATAAAATATGTTTTAGAGGCATTTTTAGGGTTACCAAGTTTGTACAGGCTGAGTTGAGGCCTACTCAAAGTCAATTATTGCGAAAGAAATTTTTAACTAAAAATAAACCACCACATCTAGACCTCAGCGTGTTATTAACGTTTTACTAATATAAAGCTTTGAAATTTGAATCAAGGTGTTTTTTATGCGATAAACCGGTGAACGAGCACATGGATCATCTGATGGTAAGCAATCGGCGTCGCCCATGGACACCTGGAACACCAGAGGCGTTACGAGTGCGTTACCGGCCTTTTGGGGATTACGAATTTGAGGGAATTCATTGATTGGGGAGATTGGGGAAGGTGGGAGGGGCGGTGGGGGTAATAAGGCCTCCGGTAACCTCACTCACACGACGAAGCAACGCAAGCGTTGTTTCACGTCGGTTTTCTGTGAGGCCGTGGTATCACTCCAGTCAAGCCGGCCCATTCGTGCCGAAGCATGGCTCTCCCACACTCTGTCTGTGTCTGTTTAGCGACTACATTGTCGGTACTTTGCGATTGGAGGCTATTTATGCTCTACGTAATACTCAGCCTTAGATTTTAACACTCAACATTGACTGATATTGTTCCATAATAAAGACCGAGAAAGAGGAAATAAAAACTATGAAACAAATCACTTACCATATGGTCCGAATTCTTAGGGTTTAAATCAGCTACCATATTATTGTTCCCATCACATTCCAGCTTCGGGTCCGTCAAAGCAAACTGCACCAAATGTACTACAGTTGACTTCAGTGTTATATGGATGAATTTCCTCGTGTTTGAGGTGAGTAGGCGCCATGACGCCACCATAGGAGGAGTGAAGTCTAGCGGCACTTCCGTCACCGCTTCCCGCCAGGGACAGGTTAGCCAGACCTGTTGAAAAAGTTAAGTAAATAGTTAAGTTAATAATTTTACAAATGTTGACTATATAAATAACTACATTTCTTAAATTAATTATGTGTTACGGCTGACTCACGTAACTTGTTGACAAGGTAACTAGACTACTTTCGAGCTATATTAGGGCTCATATGTATGAGCACTGCCGGGCAAAGGGTCTCGGGTTTGATTCCCGGGTCGGGCAAAGTATTATTGGGTTTTAAAAAAATCTCAGTAGTAGCACGGAGTCTGGAATCGTGCCCGGGATATGCTAATAGGCTCACCCCTTATTACATGGGACTCATAACATAAATAGTGAAAAGTGGGTGTCACATTGTACAGTGGCATAATGTACACCTCTGCCTACCCCTTCGGGGATAAAAGGCGTGACGTTATGTATGTAATATTATAAATGCAAAGTTTGTGTGTTTGTTTGACGAGCGCTATAATAATACGAATACTAGATTCTTTATCCTTCTTAAGAAATAATACAATATCATTTGTAACTCACAGAATGCTCAATACTCTTCTCCTTCCTAGGTTGTAACATCGCGAACAACCGGAGAGGGACTTTAGTCGTCTGGAACGGTTCCATAGCGGGGACCTTGATGGTCAGCTCGCGAGACATCGCCGTGTCATCGTCAGCGAACCTGATCAGCAGGCCAGATGACGTTTTCAGGAGTATTGTTGTGTTCTGGAAGATATATCGGTATTATACATTAAGATGGAGTGATATTATGTTGAGTTATAGTGATTTGCAATGGGCGAATGAGTAGAAAAGTACTTTATGCCCGAATATTGAAACGTTACTCAATTTTAAGTCGCGCTTAAGTATAGTTCTGTCTCTACAAATTCTTTGTGAAATGCCAGAGATGGCACGATATTTAAGAACGACTTAAAATTTAGTAACATTTCAGTATTCCGGCATTAGTGGCATTATTTTGTGTCAACTACTTTTCTATTCAACGGTATGTTTTCTTTAGGCGTATTCTTGGAGTCTTTGATTTTATTACAACAGGCCACTGATAAGGTTTTCCAAATACGAAAGCCTAAGGAAAAGTCATTAAGGATTGTTTTCAATAAATTTGAGTTCCAAGGTCAAGCAGAACTAAAATAAAAAATAGAATATTTTTTCAAGCTGATGATTATCATAAGAATCAGTTGGAAGACAAACACTGAATAACTATACTGAATAAAGTCCTCACCCCTTTACAACATAATAACACAATACATAACTGACGCGTGCACTTCGCACGCTCAACCTGATTTCTAATGAAACTGACCTATTTTGTTGTACTCTGGGTGAATTCACAAGGAATGCATTATAATATGTAATCTACTATATAAAAATAAGTCGGGTTTTCCTTCCTGATGCTATAACTCCAGAACGGACAAACCGATTTCCACGGTTTTGCATTCGTTGGAAAGGTCTCAAGGTCCGTATGGTTTATGAAATATAAAAGGAAAAATAAATTTTTCTTCATCTTTTAATCTCTAAACGAAACGTTACATAAAACGAAGCCAACTAGTGGCGAAACGGAGTTCGCCAGGTTTGCTAGTATGCTATAGATATTAAGATAAGCACATTTATCGCATTGGGCATTAACCTGTAAAGATAAATGTAAGTAAATAAAAAAAATATATAATTCAATAACAAACCTCCTCAATATGCGAGCTACCACTGGTCACGACCAGCTCCACAGCATGTTCCAATCCAGCCACTAAATCCTTCTTCGGTTCCACCTTATTCAAGAACACGTTCACACCCTGAGTCACGATCTCACATCCCATCTTCGTTCCAATCAGTACATTAGACAAAAACTCCAATTTTTCTTCAATGACTAACGAAACCTGACCAAGTTTGAAGACCCCGCATTTGGTCGCAACAAAATCTAGGACAAGGTCATTTGTACCTGGTTTTAGGATTATATTGCTAACGGAAAAACAGTTTTCATAGTTATTCCTTACTGTTGCTGAAGGTTTTCTGTATTTGCAACTGTCTGATCGCTTAAGGGTCACCTTTGGGTTTTGACATTCAACGGTGACCTTTTGCAAGGATCTGTCTTCTTTGAAGTGTGTTTGTGAGGTTATGTGTAAAGGGTTTAATAGTGGGTTCTTGGGTTTTAAGTCGTCCAGTCTTATGCTGAAAAAGATATAAAAGTTGATGTAGAAATAATGTCTACTTAGGTTTTAAGTTGAATAAAAGTATGTAGTCTACTTTATAGGGTCAATTTTGAAACAAACAAATAGTATCAATAAGGTTTATTATAGCTTGATGCTTCATGGTTATAGTCACAGAAAAACCACAATAAATCAAGTCCTCCACATATTAAATATGAAATAACTAAAATAACTAATTGACCTTAGTGCCACTTCAGTCACCGGTTTTGACGCTATTGAAGGTTTGACTTTCACCATTTTAAACTTGTCAGTTAAAGTGTTAAATGATGACTACTGACGAGTAGAAAAAGTCCTTAAAACTTAGAGATCCATTCAAAATCTTACCTTGTAATTAAGTTAGTAGTATCATTGTCAGCCTCGGCCGGCCCCCGTCGAGGCGAAGCTACACTACTGCTAACACTTAAATCAGTCTTATAACTTTTGACAGGCGTCCGTCTGTCCGTCCTATCCTCCTTACACCTCTCTATACTTATTGCTGCTCTAGTACAAGTCACATCTTTCGGCAAATAACTAACAACCGTCATGCGACATTGGACCTTATTGTCAGTGATATAGACACCACGTTCCGACGGCACTAAACTGGCGGATACGATTTTGAAGCATTCGTTCAGCTCCGTCAGTACCGTCTCTGACTTCTTGCATAGTTCCTCGCGTATGGATTTCATCATTTCCTCGAAATAAAAGTTTCTGACTAGTATCTCTAGTTCGGCTGTACTTGCTATTGTTGCTGAGAGCTTTGTGTATCTGTAAAAGAGAAAAAATATCTTCGTAGTGTTCATTGTCTATATTAATCATTACATTATTTAGCTAGTCCATTAAAATGTTATAAGTTCACTCACAATGTCGAAGTTTTGTATAGTATTGGCACATTCGGTATGATTTTTATCATTTCAATACTTCAAGAATTTATAGAAAAATAAATAACAGACTTTTTTACCATTTAAAAAAATCCTAACTCAAATTAACAAAAATAACTACTCTTTGGCACAGCAAACAAAATACTCTCTTGTAGGCCCAACTGCAAGATCCAGTACAAGAAACTTCCACTACGTGTTATTTCTTATAGAATTGCAATATGCCAAAAAACACCCTGATTTTTACAGTCCACAAACCTGTCCATGTCATTCATCTTCTTGGCAGCGGCGACGAGTTCCAGCCTGGTCTGTGCCGCCAAGTCCCTCCATCCCTGCTCCTCATACGACCGCAGCGCGTCCATCAGGAACACCACCGCCTTGCCAGTCTCACCCAACTCCGAGTAGAACGCTGCTAGGTCACGGCCTATTAGGCGGGCGAATCTGGAATATGAATGGAGTTACTTTTATAGACCTGGGTTCTTTTTCTTTTTCTCTTTCTTTTAAGATGAGAAGAGGTAGTGTTTTATAGTGTAGAACAGAATACATTTCACTCATTTCTATCCTAGTAGACTGAATGAATTAGTTAAGGTATTCCAGAATAGCTTTACCATTTTTCAGCCAAGCCGGGACTTAAATTAATAAGGGGCTTGCGCGAAGTGCGGCTCACAAGTAGATTTCAATTAACTTTTCATTACTAGGTAGGTATTGTGGCGACACATGCCACATGTCAACGGATGACGTCACAAGAATCCTACATCGCACATGCAAAGTTTACAAGCGAATAAACACGGATAGAAAATCCCAACGAACAACTGTTGGGCAGAAAGCCCGCCAGGCACGATCACCTCGCCTGGTCGGAGGATCCTCCTTTTCCGATCTTAGGGAACTATACTCTCTGTTCCCTAGAATACAGATTTTTTTTGTGTAACCAATTAGTAATTGCGCTAGTGAGTCAAAAGATCCTCTTACCATAATAATAATTACTGTTACTATGCAGTTTTCGAAAAAAAAAAACAAATTTAGCTACAAAAACTTACAGTAATAAATAATTATTTTACAAACTACGTTATAAAAACCGACTTCAACCCCCTCTTTATTTCAAGTCAGGTAATTATTACACTAAAACCTTCTCCTAAGTCTAACAAACACTTTTCTGAAAACCGCATCAAAATCGGTGCAACCAATCGCGAGATAAGCGCGGACAAACATACATACATACACACAGATCAAATTGAGAACTCTTTTTTTTAACGTCGGCTAAAAAGGTGAATACCAACCTTAACCGTCCAATATGCTTATAAGTCCCCATAGCTAACTCAGCGAGTTCCAGATAATACTGCTGAAAGCTGGTCTTGCTACACAGCGCCTCCTTCAGTCTATCAGTGGGTGTGGGCTGTTGGTTGTTGTTCTCATTGTCTCCCATCCCTGCTGACAGCATCACCACCAGGTGCAGCTGTTCTGACGTTGGCTCTGGAGAGCCAGGAAGCAGGCCGCAGAGTTTGCCGAGTTCGTGTAACTGGAATAATTAAAACTTAAATCACAATTGGATTAATGAAATAACACAAATAGAGATGGTGAAAGTTATTTATATGTAAGTTTTGTATATATATATTTATTTAATGGGACAAGCCCGCCACATCCTCCCAAAACCGCTGCAACTCCTGTAAGCCATGATCTACAGCAGATACAACCATAAAAACATAACATAATTTTTATATATACATGAACTTTAACTTATACAAAAGAGATCAAGTTTTTATAAATACAATAAGAATAGAAAACAACAGAAAAAATTCTTCATTTGAATTCGTAAAACGCATACAGAATGTGTCGACACCAACTACAACTTCCCAACATTAGACCGAAAGAAGAAAATGGTACAATAGTATCATAATAATGTTTCATAAGGATAAATACATGAACAAATCTGTTTTCATCATTTTTGGCTGTCAGCCAAGATTCAGAACAACAGTAATAGCCAAGGGTGTGACAAAGGGGGCTTGGCAGTTTGATGATTGATATTATAGCAAATATATATAAAAATGAATTGCTGTTCGTTAGTCTCGCTAAAACTCGAGAACGGCTGAACTGATTTGGCTGATTTTGGTCTTGAAATGTTTGTGGAAGTCCAGGGAAGGTTTAAAAGGTGAGAAAAAAAATTGTAGGCGGTATGAAGTTTGCCGGGTCAGCTAGTAGCAAATATTAATACATTATTACCATGTCTCATTAGTGGCTTCGTGAGAATAACGTACCACTGTGGCTTCATTAACAGTCATAAATCTTTTCATGCATTCTCGTCGATTAAGGGTACTTTTAATTAGGTATATTAAACCTGATAAAACCCGATGAATACTGCATATCTACTTCCTATAGAATATTGAAGAGTTCTAAGCAATAGAAACTGAGTGACATTTTATTGACCGGGTTTACATTGAGATATATCTCTAACATATCCCTAGTATCCTTTAACGTGGACAGATTAAAAAAATATTTTTATTATGGACATTTAATTCGATGATCACTTTACCTTATCCTTAGCATTATGCAGCAATGGAGCCTGGGTAGCAGTGCACATATCAAGCGCATTATTGTTCGCAGCCAATCTTTCGCACGCGCGCAACGTCTCCGCGCACGCTAACTGCGCCCAACATGCTGCAGCGCCCTCTACCGCCGTGGCACCGAGTAGAGATAACTCTACTAATGTGTTGTGTACAGTTGATAGACATCTGGATGCGATCTGAAAGATAATTTGGAATGGTAATTTTTTTATGGCATAAGCCGGGAAACGAGCAGAGGGATCACCTGATGGTAAGCAATCGGCGTCACCCATGGCCACCTAGAACACCAGAAGCGTTACAAGTGCGTTACCGGCCTTTCGGGGATTAGGAGTTTGAGGATTGTTGGGAATTCAGGGATTAGGGAGATTGAGGAAGGGGAGGGGGTGATTGGGCCTCTGGTAACCTCACTCACACGACGAAACACAACGCAAGCATTGCTTCACGTCGGTTTTCTGTGAGGCCGTGGTATCACTCCGGTCGAGGCGGCCTATTCGTGCCGAAGCATGGTTCTCTCACACTTAATATATAAATAAGAAAAAAGTTTTATTGATTGGCAAACATTTGACCATCTATGTCTCATTCAATAAAGGTCAGTCCTAAATCCTCATTTTAATAGCGCCATTATTTTCTTGTTGTCTCTCCACGGAAACGACGGCGTAATTAAACAGTTTCCTACATAGTCTGCAACGCATTTGTGATCCTTTTGAACTTGCAGTCTCCTCTAGCTTAGATATCTACGAGTCCTGGAATTCCACCCATTAAAATACCGTCTACAAAGCAGGTACAATATTCCAGACTTAGTACTACAGTTGAGAACTTTTATAACCAAAAAAATCTGAACCTGAAAATAGGTATGATGACAGAGTATGAAAATTAAAAATCTTATTAGTCCGTCAGTTGAGTAATGAAAAAATATTAGACACGTATTTTTTATTTTGTCGTATAAAAAAACAATACTTATACTCCGTCTGTTTAGGTAGTTAACTATTTGTAAACAAACCATAAAAAGAGTTCTTTATAGTTGACATTTCCATGATTCAAAATACTTCATAAGAAAATAAAATTGTTTCCCTTTTTACGACAGTTTTCTCTATTAAATGTTATGTTTCTGTTCCTTTTCACTTATTTCTTAATAAATATTAAATATATCTGCTTGAGGATATTAATTTAATAAAATTTATTAAATAATTTAATATTTCATTACAATAGACACCATAAAGAGCCTAAATTCCCAGGTATCCAAAACGTTTCTTTAAGAACGAAGCAAAATAATGTTGTCAAATTAAAGAGTACAACGAAGATGTAGCGCGACAATGAAAGTAGCGTGTATTACGTTTAGTCGGTTAATCAGGCGCCATTGACAGCTCTCTCGTCGTTTGCGCTCGCGTTCCTATTTTGTTGAATTTAACTTGTTTCTTTGTTTTGTTTTTGTTATTAAGTTATTTAAGTTTAGGTTAATCATCGTTTGTAATTAAGGTGTTCAAATATATTGAAGAAACTTGGTCCAAAGTCAGATATCCGTACAAGAAAGAAATCCGTACATCAGATTCAGAATAGTTTTTATTTAAACATGATAATGAAATAGACCCATAGGCTAGGCTCTTGTACGATTTAGGCATTTGTACTTGTATGTGTGTGTATGACAAATGAACGATTTTAAAGTGAATTTAGTTAAAATTAAAACACGAGAAATATTTGAAGTAATAGTAGGTTAAGTATCTCTGTGTCACGTGGTTTTCTTTGTTTACATTTAGTTAATTACCTAAACAGATGGACTATAGAATAAAAGTTTAGGAGTGGGAGGTAGCTACTTTATTTTAGAGTATAAAGCGAAACTATTCATTTCAGAAAAAAAAAAAAATCATGTACAATGTTTTTAAATACTCTACCAGAAGACATTAAAATAAAAATTAGTCATCTACTGGCTGCCCTATTGACCCCGCGACCAATGAACCAAATAAGAAATAAACACACATAATAATTTCAATTTGAGCGTACGAATTAGAACTGTACTTAGTACTAAACGGTACCAGGTAAAAGCCAACATTTAATGAGCCTATCCCGTTTATCATTACATTACATAACAAAACAATTTCCTTCTATGACATAATATGTCAATTTTTGTCTACACTTGACCTACCACAATGTTCAATAGTCAGCCACAACAGTAACCATACGTCATAACGTCACACATGGGTAGCCATGGGGAAAATATTAGTTTACAATACACCAGTACATGCGTAAAGCAAGCTGTATTAAATGTACAGAAAGTGCGATTAAGGATATGAGAATGTCCCACCTACATCTGGATAGATTTTCAACTATATTTCCTTGTGATAAAGTTGATAATCTATTGAAGGAAGGGTAGCTTGATTTGCGAGTATCTGTTGTAAAGGAAATGAGACTGTTAAGATTCAACTTTATTGGCTTGTTATAAAGTTGGTTATCTATTGAAGAATGGGTAGTTTGGTGTGCTGGTGGAGGAAATTAGAATGTCAAGATGTATGTAGCGTGAAGAGTGGATAAAGTAAGATATTAATATGATAGAGGAAGTTTGAAAGTGATGCCGGTAATGGAGACGATGTACAATTGTCATCGTTTTTATGGCATAAGGCGGCAAACAAGCAAACCGATTAACTGATTGTAAGCAATCGGTAAGGCCTATGGACGCCCGTTATACCAGTGGAGTTATAAATGCAGCGCTGCCGGCCTTTTCGGGAAAGGGTGGGGGGCTGGGGGTCTAAGGGTCTCTGGTAACCTTATTATATGACGCGCGACGCGACGGTAAGAAAGAACAAAGGAGCAGGTAATGTATTTAAGCTCAGAGGCCAGAGCTGAGATTGCGATTAGGCGTAGAGTCCAGCAATGGACAGTCTTGGGATGTTAATGTCAATGAAAGGTAAAAATGAATGAACTGGCTGAGGAATGGAACGAATAGAGTTTAGTATATATTAAATTTCCAATACATTTTTAATAGTTACTCAAAAATCGTAATAGGCACAATGATTTATTTCGCTACAAATATGTCGAAAGCAACAGTTTGTTCCGAAATCAGTATGAAAGCAATAAAAAATAGGTACACATAAATGTTTCACAAGAAATATTGGACAGTAATTGCTTTGTAATTATCGCCAATGCACTGCGTTTATTTCTTTGTGCATGCATCATAGTTTGTCATTATTTGAAAATGAGAAATGTTGCCAGGTCTGCTATGTTGCAAGATTTATGAGGCGACAATTTTGATGGAAATGTAAAGAAAGTTTGTATTCAACCGACGTCCCAAAAAGGAGGAGATTATCAATTCCACTGTATGTTTTTTTCTAGGGATCCATTACAGGTGGGGGAAATTATTTTCCATATCGAAATTGACAGATATTACGCTTTTATTGCGAATAAGTAGACTGGGGTGAGCCTTTCACTAAAATTCAATAGAATATTACAAGACTCTTTTGTGAGGTATATCAATAATTTAGTAGTTATTAATATAACTGACAAAAAAGACTTGACACTCCAAATACATATTATTGTAATACAGGGTGTCCTTGTTATGTATTCAAGCAGTGAACTGAGTGAGCAGGTTATTGATGTCGTTATATAGGGTGTTGAATTCATATTAAATAATAAAAGGTATACATACCTCCCAAGGTTTCGATGAGGGCAGCAACATGGCACTTTGACGTTGAAACAAATAGCTCCTAAAATCCAACAACGAAGCTTTCTTCTTTATAATCAGTTCTCGAAGGTGTTGAGGAACCAAAGCAGTCAGTCTGACCGCCTGCCAAGATGTCACAGGTTGTCTAAATGTGTCAAGCCATTTTGGACTCTCTGTCACATTGGAATTGAGTACGAATTGAGAGAACAGAGCATCTAATTCATCATACTGGACTAGAGCCTCGTCATACAAGCCTAGCATTTCAAGTACAAATGCTAGTTGTTCCTGAAACAATTTCAAATATAATTAGGACAAAACAAAAAAAAAAAATAAAGAATAAAACTATTATAATCAAACCAAATTTTATTTTGAATCCATAAAAACTACAAAAACAAATAATACTAGACAGCAAAACAAGAAAAATAATAATTATTATTACATTCCCCTTACTCTTTTAATATTTTCTAATAAATTTAAGAACAAGTATTAGAAAAGGTTGGCATATTTAAAACCAAATATCTACATTAATAATTTACCTGCAAAATAAAATATTTACAAAAATCCCAATCCGGATCATTACGTTTCTCTCGTTGCTCTCTCATGTACTCCTCAAACTTAATTAGGGCTTTATTATACGCCACTAGTATAAAATGTCTTATCTTTGCTACCAACGCCCTCCATGACTCCGCACTCCTTGCTTCGGACTTGATAGGATTAATAACAGAAATAAACCTATCTTCTGTTTGTTTCACGCCAAAATCACCCTTAATTTTATCCAAAACCGTAGTCCTCGGTAACAATTTGTTTGTTTTTCGTATGTCATAAGTTTCTACTAGGACTATCATCCAATCCGTTATTCCATTTTTCTCTAGTTGTTTCAACCATGCTTCTATGTCTTCTCTTAGAGTTGTTTTGTAATATTCTATGTCCTGTGAATAAATATTATTTTTATGGTAAATATGTAAAATTGTAGGGGATTTGTATGTTACTTTGATATTATTATTTTGCCAAGTTTCTTTTAATTTTTAATGGGAACTTCTGATACTTTCATTCAAAATAAATTTTAGTACAACATTTTGTGTCTATTTGTAATTTTTTTTTTTACATGAAACATTAGTACGAGTATGAATCATATGGAATTTAATCTAAACGGTGTTATGTTTAATCTTATATAGTAATATACACTACAAGGCCACTAAATCCTGAATAAATTGAATGCAACCCACACATTTATTATTGCAATTATTTACTACATTCATATTATTGCAAGATACAGCAATATTTCCATTTTAACTGCCATCATTTACCATCAATAATAACCTAATACCTAATACAGTTAAAATATGAACCTCGGTCAGTCTCTCGGTAAACTATCAAGCCTTATCAGAACATATTAAATCCTTATCTGCAATCAATTCTTTATTGCTATTTGACCATTATTATAGCCATGGATTAATATTGAAATAATATTATTCGATTTTATTAAAAAAGTTGTATGTTATGTAATAAAAAGAAAATGATAAGAAAAACAATTTATAAATAATAATTAACTATTAATATGATATACTTGGTTCCAATCCCGATTCATGTCTTGATAAGTCAGACTATTAATAAACTACATTTATTTTTGCTATGAAAAATTTTTATCATTAAATATTAAGTATATAAAGCTTTTAAAAATATATACATACCACACAGTCAGTCCAGTATATATGAAATATTGGTTTCTTCAACAAATTCAGCTCATTTTGCGCTCTGTCCTTATTATATCTGGTGAAAGAGGCCTCCAGGTAGACAGACTTGGTAGCCCGGCCATATGACCGCCTCCATTCACATGAGTCCTGTGGTATGGCGGCCACTAGGGGCGCCTCTAACGTGCAAAATAAATTCCAATCTCCCGCACCTACCAGTAAAACAACAATTTATTTATTTATACATAGAATATTGACCTAAGATTTACATAAACATAAGGTGCCAAAATCTTACATGTAACAATCGGTTTGTGTGTCATGCCTTCACGGTCTCCTGTCGCACTATCGACACCCTTCATTTTTCATCTGCTTTTCATCATCAGCACAATCCGTCGATTTTGCGGGCATGACACAAATAACAATCCGCTTATTAGCGCAGACGGAATCCACCCACTTATTCACGTAAATTAATTTTCATCAAACATATGGATACGATAATGATATAGCAACTGCTAGTTAATTACGGTGGATATTTTAATTAGTTCTCATTATTTTTAACCCGTTTTGACTTTTTTGAAGAAATTAAAATCGAGAATTTGTCAAAACTCGCTGCTGTCATCACCCAACTCGACACTCGACAGATAATTGCGTTTCGTTTCATGTTATTGTTGTGTAATCGGGTTGTTTTGGTTCCTATTTTTATCATATTTTTTGCAGACAAACATTTATATACCTTTTTTGATTTATAATTTTGGAAAAATATGCTATGCAATGTAATACACAAAGGAAGTGTAGATAGCTGAAATCGAATTATTGAAAATTGGACAGTCTTAAAATCGATTTATTGAATCATTGGACACCAGGAATATTGTGTTAAGATTAATCTCCTGTTAGGTATATATTATTTACAGTTTTATAACATGCATATAAATGAAAATAAGCGGCACTTTAACATTCATTCGTAAAAATAAATAGAGGCCTTGATCCTGAAATCACGACTATTTTAATACTTGTCTTTCTTACCTAATTCTTTTGTTGGCAACATTTTTCATTCTATCTGTCTATGGGCCGCCAAAATGTCGCTTTCTGTTTTGGTATCATCTCACAATAAAAGAAATTAATTTCAGTAATTTACTCAATAACTTAGTGAATATAAGCAAAGTGATTAAATGCCCTCATTTATAAATATTTAAAGTAAATTTGGTGCATCAATCAGGTAATATTCTACCTCCTAGTTATCCTAGAAGTGGTCATTTGGCTATGTGAATAATTCCTTTTATTTTCAGTCATATTAACGTAAATTTTCGGCAAATTCTGATATAAATTACGAAATAAATACGATATTAGGCGTTTCAAATATAAGTTTTACGAAAGTATTACACAATAGTTACATGAACTGTAATTTTGTAAAAGATTTTTATTATTCTGATCCGAAATTAATTAGGAGGACTGATTACTTTGTATAATAATTATTTAGTTACGAAAATTCTGACTTTCATACACTACATAACTGCCGCAATAAAGCTTATTTGCTGCAAATTAAATAAAAAAATCATTTTGTGCGTCATAAACGGGTAATTGCAGTTTCAGTAACCTATAACGCTTAAAATTCTGTTCTAAGCCATGAATACCACGGCTCCGACGTCGGCGGATGCCTGCCTGAGCATCGTGCACTCGCTGATGTGTCACAGACAAGGTGGAGAGAGTGAGGGGTTCTCCAAGCGAGCTATAGAATCTCTTGTTAAGAAGTTAAAGGAGAAGAGAGATGAATTAGACTCCTTGATCACAGCAATAACTACTAATGGCGCACATCCTAGTAAATGTGTTACAATACAGAGGACGCTTGATGGGAGGTTACAGGTATTATAAAATACTGATTAATTTTACACTAGTCATCATTACTTACATTTGTTTGAAGAATGATTCAGTAATCTGTCTTACACGGGTAATTCATAATTTGAATAGGTCTTATAATGTAGTAATAAATGGGTTTGTTATATTATTTATTTTAGAATGTAATTTATCATTTAATTGTAAGGAGGTAGAGAAAATAAAAATGCTCATCTAGTAATGTTATTGATTTTTACCTGACTGTCGGAAGGGTATTGTTTTTTGTCAAAGTGTTGCTAGTATTCTAGTATTGCATAGTGGATGTAGAGAAGTTCCATACTGACATAATATAGGGACTAAACATATCCTTACATTGTATATATATTTATTCACCAATTATTAAAAAAAATGTATTGACAATCTTATATTTATCAATGAACAGAAATATATATGTTGAAGTTTATTAAATACTATTTCAATATAAAATCAAATAATATAATCTTTAACAATAAAATTGATCCTGTAATCCAGCTTTAACTGTGGATCCTCAAATTGTGAATTATATAAGTAATACTAATAAAGTGCATCCGAGTTTCGTGTCATTTCACAGAGGGCCAAAACATAAATAAAAAAAATGTGTCGAAACAAAATCACACACATAAGGGGTGGTTATTAGCCTAGCCAATGCACTAACTATGCAGACAGTGTTTATTTATGAAATACAAATTAAAATAATCGTCATCATCATCCTATAAATGGCCAATGCTGACCAAACACCTCTTACACGCTGAAGGTTTGAGCATTTATCACCATGCTTGCTGATTGCGGGTTGGTGATTTCAACCATATAATTAGAAAATATAAGCTCAGATCAGGTTTCTTCACAATGTTTTCCATCACTGTTTGTCAGTGGTGTCTAATTATTCTTAGTAAATATCACTGGGAAAAAGTGACCTTGGTACTTGCTACTCATGCATGAGAAGCGGGCGTCTTAAAACTTCGGACCCTTAAACCTTTGGTACAAAAACAAATTAAAATAGACACACCTTTTTGTATGATGTAAAAATATATTGTCGTTTACTAAACCACCTAAAATGACGCAGATAAATAGGCATGTCAAACCAACATAAATTATCCCCAATTTATTGTTATTACTAATTAGAATTACATATGACATCAACTATACCAAGTCTATTCTTTCAGGTGGCCGGTCGGAAAGGATTTCCCCACGTTATTTATGCTCGTATATGGCGGTGGCCGGACTTACACAAAAATGAATTGAAACACGTCAAGTTTTGTCAGTTTGCTTTCGATTTAAAATGTGACTCAGTGTGTGTGAACCCTTACCACTACGAAAGGGTTGTTTCCCCAGGAATAGGTCAGTATTGCTTCTTTCACTTAGGTCTATTGTGAAGAACGGGTTTTAGACTAGCCTAGACAATAACCTGTCTAGACAGGCCCCCTAGTAAAAGTTGCTGTTATTATTATTATTATTTAATCTCCAAATCTTTGAACTTTCACTTCAGTCACATTGAAACTGCCAGTTACAACAGATCTGTCTTATTAGTTACTCAGTCTATAGTCGTGTGTCCCAATGAAGAAAGAAACATTTTCAGATTTATCAGGCCTCACACTTCAGTCGGGTCCCAGCAGATTAGTTAAGGACGAGTACACAGCTGGCCTCAGTGGAAACGGAATGGACATGGATACTGGTGAGATGGTGACCATTCAGCATCATGCTACTAGTCCTAGGCACCATCATACGCCGATGCCACATCACCATCAGCAGTTCCAGACGACAAATATTATTATTAACCAGGGACAAAGTAAGTGACGGGTTTGTGCTTGTGTTGTTGTGGAGTCTGAAGGAATACATTTACATGGTGTAGCCTGTAAGGGATAAGAGGATGGAGAGAACAGCTAGGTTTATTTATATCTATCATCTCATTAGACTAGAAATGTTATTTTTCCACATCCCTTTCAGCCTATCTCATTCAGTGTGTTTGTGTGTCAATGTGGTACTTTTATTTTGCATGCATGATCAATTTATTTTGCGTTATGTGGTTACTAGCGCCTGAAGGCGTACCGAACATGTTTTCGCCGACGCACGCGCCGCGCACCCCGCTGCGGGCGCCGGCGCCCCACGCGCCCCTGGCGCCGCCGATGGGCCACGCGGCGCCCGCACCGCAGATGTGTGCGCACCCAGGGCCCATGCAGGGCCCCCAGATGGTGCCGGCCCAGTCGCCCCTGGGTGGAGGGATGGGACAGGGACAGATGTCGTCCCCGCGGTTGGCTGCAGCGCCCAGTATGTCGCCGGCGACGCCGCAGATGCCGCCGATGAACAGGCCGATGTCGCTGCCGAGCCCGCAACAGATGACGATGGCCCAGCAGCGCGCGGTGGCCCCCAAACTCGAGCCCCCCGATACGATGGACGCCCGCGCAATGTGGCTGCCTAAACGAATGAATCATTGTAAGCTTTATTCTTTTGATTTGCACAGTTTTTTGATTTTATTCACTTTTATTTCTGTCATTGGAGTGGTAGTTATTGTGTTCAGTGAGATGTGATGTGGCATGGAAGTAATGGTATGACGATTATTTCATATTATTGCAAATGTTCTAGCTGCAATGCCAGTGACTATGTCTCCGGGAGCCACCACACCACTCATAGATGGCCCGAATTCTACATTCTTCACGTCAGAGACAACATCTAATGATTCTTCTCAGCTGACTCAAACTTTGTCCAGTAAGTTTTAAATTGTACAAAACATAAACATCATTATGAATAAATAGATTAAACCTTTACGAACTCCAGTTAAATTATTGGCCGCTGCATAAAAACCCTTTGAGTACTTTGTAAGCCTGTTACAAGCAGATAAACTTGCCTTCACAAAATGTAACAAAGCCTGTACGAAACAGATTCGCACGCAGCGGGCACGGTATCGCCTGGTTCCGGGGAGGGCTCCCAACAGAATGGGTTCACTACAGACGGCAGTCCCGCGCCACAACCCAGCCCTCTACCGCATCGCACGCAGCATCAGCAACAACAAGGTACTGTACTAAACATTACTAGAATTTACTTATAATTTATATTTCAGACAAACAGAATTTGAAAGAACAAGCTGTACGATTGATATATGTCGCACGTCAACCAACTCCAGTCTATGTGACTGTTTTTATTTCATAGCGTAGTATTAAAATTTTTTCGTTGATCATACAACCACTACTGTACCGTGAAACCCTGCGACACAGTAAGGATGAAAGTTGTTTAAAAATGTTTAAACATAGTGTGGAGTAAACTATTCTATGATGGAGCAATATTTTACATCAGATAGATTAGCGGTGTTTGGTCTTTTGACGAAGTCGAATATTCAGAAGACCACAGCAAAAAACATATTAGCAGTGTGTTAGTGATGCAACAATTTGAACAGGGCTTTTAGCCTTAAAAGACCGCAGTAGTAGACTGACTTGGTATACGCATTTCAAGAGTTTAAACTGGGCTGGCACTTAGCAGCGACTTTTTTATATTAGATGGGACGGACGTTTGACGCCATCTCGCCTGGTGGTAACTGGTAAGCGATAATGAGGCCTACGAAAATTGACTTTGGTCTGTTAGCCTCAGAAGATCGAAGTAGTCTTGGTACACAAAAGACGAATCTTTTAATGAAAATTAGGGGTGATTCTGCGGTCTTTTAGTGAAAATAACGGAGTAAATGTCTTCTCCAGGCACGTGGACTGGTAACAACACACTAACGTATACACAGAGCTTGGCTCCTCCGCCCGCCGCGCCACCCGTGCCCCTTGACGCTCCTCCTCATCATCATTATTGTAAGTTGAAGATAAATACGCTTTTAGCATAGCTTTTTAGACCGGCAATAATTCTTGGATCAAGTTGCTTTAGTAGTCTTTGAAAACTTGAGCTTGCCTTCGACAGGTCTTTCTTGACAGACTTATTCAAGGCATTGTGTTGTCCTGTTTTTCATTTGTTGTTTATGTAAACTAAAGAGGAGCTTGGGGCACCCGTTACTAGGTTAAATGTGCTTGTGAATATGGTGGCTTAAATGGCGTTTAGTGTCAAAATCTGAACAAGAAAACATGCAGAAAATGTGTTAGCTAACCTAACCGAACTTGGTAGTTATAAACCTCATTTCAAGAATATTTAAAATGCGCTTTGCTATCTAGCAATAAAAATAGCTGATCTGTATCAATAATTTTCATATTTCAGACAATGGTAACCCAGGCGGTCTTCTCTCAAGTCAACCAGCTCCTGAATATTGGTGCTCAGTCGCCTACTTTGAGTTAGATACGCAGGTCGGAGAGACCTTCAAAGTACCTTCCAGTAGACCCAACGTTACCGTGAGTATGATCATTGTGTAGGACATTTTTATTTGCGATTTCTTGATTTTGGCTTGACCTAAATAGACCAGTTAGTCTTAAAGTTCTTATGTGTTTGTTACATTCTTAATTCTCTGTAGTTAAAATGCCATCATAGTGGTTGTTACTAAAATGATTGAATTAAGATTTTTGTTTCATATTTATCACAGAACAATTACTACATAAATACATCACAAAACAAAGCGAAAGCGACATGGTCAATTATAAACAAGTCCAAACATAACTTCCCCAAAGAGCCTATTACAGAAATACTTAAAGATGACATAAAAATTACAGACCCTAAATCTATTGCGAATAATTTTAACGATTTCTTCATTAACCAAGCTTCAGAACCAGATCAAACAAATAACAGAAGAAATGATGGACAAAACAAAACCCAACCCTGCAATCATAAAATTTACACTAAAACCAATTCAATTTATCTTACTCCCACAACACCTATAGAAGTAAACAGAGAAATAATGCAACTGAAAAATACCCATAGCGTCGGCCACGATGGTGTCTGTACCAAAGTCATAAAATATATATCCACAAATATTTCTGCTCATTTATGTTATATAATTAACCTATGCATTTCTAACGGAATGTACCCAGAAAAACTTAAAACGTCTATTGTCATTCCACTACACAAAAAAGAAGATAGACGGAAAATGGGAAATTATAGGCCCATAGCGTTAATCCCCATTTTCTCAAAAATATTTGAAAAAATTATATATGTCGCCTCTATAGCTATTTAGAAAAATTTAATATTCTGGTAGACGAACAGAAAGGCTTTCGTAAAGGGAAATCAATAAATATGGCCCTTTATGATCTATTGAAAACAATTTTGTTAGCCATGGACAAAAAAATACCAACATGTGCCATCTTTATGGACATGAGTAAAGCATTTGACCGAGTCGATCACAACATACTTTTACAAAAATTAAGCAAGTATGGCATAAGAGGCAAAGCGTTAGACCTCTTTTTTCATATCTGCACAATAGAAAACAAATAGTAGAAATAACACAAATATGTCAGAAAACACGAACCGAGATTAAGCATAAATCGAACACAAAAACTATAAAATTTGGAGTCCCACAAGGAAGTGTTCTCGGGCCTCTACTGTTTCTAATATATATCAATGATCTGCCTAACCATATAAATCAACCAATGGTCTTGTTTGCAGATGATAGTACGGTCATAATAAGGGGTGAAAAAGAGACTGATTATGAACATGTAGTTAACCAAACATTAAATACGATTATACAATGGTTAAACGATAATAATCTAAAAATAAATATGGAAAAAACTAAAATCATTCACTTTCACCAAAAAAATAAACCATTAAATATAAACGTTGGTTACCAAGGTAACACTGTACATCCCGTGACAGATGCAAAGTTTCTGGGAATAACAATAGACGATAAACTGTCATGGAAACCACATATAGAAAATATATGCAAAAGAATTAATAAATCCTCATTTGCTCTATACAAACTGACAAAAATTGTCAATAAAGAAGCTGTATTAGCTGCATATCATGGACTTGTTGCACCTATCCTTAGATTTGGTATTATATCTTGGGGTAACTCAGTGGATAAGGAATATATATTTAAATCCCAAAAGAAATGCATTAGAGCTATGTGTAATGTAGACAGTACTACTAGTTGTCAACCCTATTTTAAATCATTAAAAATCCTGACATTTCCCTCGTTATACATTTATGAACTTAATATTTTTGTGAAATCAAATCCTAATTACTTTGAGACTGCTTTTAAAAGCTATTATAGACAATTGCGAGATAAAAAAAGACTAGAAGTTGTTATACCTTATGGGAAAACAGCACTCATTAATAAAAGTATTCTTTGCATGGCATCTTTAATTTATAACAAACTGCCCGATTCTGTCAAAACATTGCCTCTTCACCAATTCAAGCGGAAGCTACACAAACTCCTAATAACTAAATGTTATTATAGTGTCAAGGAGTACCTACAGGATAAAGATATAGATAGTTTATTTTGCCAACAAGTAGTGTGACATACAGTAGTGAATTTTATGTACCAAATTTTATGTTATTATTAATTTATATAATTTTTATGTTATTATTAATCTACCATTGTTATATGACTTAATTTATTGACCATGACATGAACAATTATAACTCACTTGACATTCTGTACGTTTTAATCCTTTGACATTTCTATAATTTTGTAATATTATTGTAAGCATATAATGTAATTAGAAAAATTGATTGCCTAAAGACTGTATAAATATTTGCACATCTATTTAGGTAATGATACAGTGCACTATATATCTACATGTAACATCTTTTATACCTGTATTATGCAAATAAATGATTTGATTTGATTTGATTTGATTTGATTCTAAAATTATGTAGGTCTATCTCTTAGTAGCCCATAGGAGGAAAATGATATCTACTTAGACTAGAATATATTGTAGGTGCAATGAATTAGATGTAACCAAAAATAATGTTAATTTTTAGGTTGACGGCTACGTGGATCCTTCAGGCGGTAACAGATTTTGTTTGGGCGCTCTCAGTAATGTGCACAGAACTGAACAGAGTGAACGAGCGAGGTGAGGCACAAATAAAGTACCTATTTAGAAATAACGAATTATATAACTTTCGTGTTGCTATCTTGTCTAGCCGTTAGTTTAAAAAAAAAATCAAAACAACGACTAGACAAGATAGTAAAACCCTTATCTGGTGATAACGTTGGATAATCGAAACTTTACGTTACAAATATATTAATAACTGGTTGCTGCCCGCGACATACGCGCATCTTCTTGCATTTTTTTAACTTACTTTAATAAAGGAGGTTCTTAGTTCGACCTTTATGTATGTATATAATTATGTTTGTGCGCGATTATATCGCAGCTTGGATTGGCGGAACGGATTTTGATGCGGTTTTCAGAATGTCTTTTTTACACTTAGGATAAGGTTTTGGTATATTAATTTATCTACTTTAAAAAAGGAGGGGTTTAAGTCGGTTGTTTTAGACAAACCTGACAATAATGAAAACATAAAAGAAAGAATTGTCCATTTGGTACTGTCGTTCTGAAGTTATGCGCGTACATACCTTTTGGGAATTCAAATATAGATTTTAATAATAATTTAGTGCAGTTCCCTGATAAGTTAAGGATTTTGATTTATTGTTTACTTTTGCGCAGTTTATTAACCACGTTATCATAGCGCTAATTTGGCAATAAATAAATATTTTTATATTTCAGACTGCATATCGGTAAAGGTGTGCAGTTAGACCTCCGCGGTGAAGGCGACGTGTGGCTGCGTTGTCTGTCGGATCACTCAGTGTTCGTGCAGTCCTACTACCTCGACAGGGAGGCCGGCAGAGCGCCCGGAGACGCCGTACATAAGATTTACCCATCTGCTTGTATTAAGGTAGGGATTATAACATAAGATCACAATTTAATACCTCCTTTTCGCCAGTTATGAGTCCCTGTCCAAGTAATAGGAGGCTCATGTAAGCAGGGGAACCTATTGCCATATACGATTCCGGATGGAAAATCAGGAATAGAACGCGAAGCCTCTTGCTCGACAGTCGCTTTTACAAGCATTCGACCTACAACGTCGTTTTAGAAAAGATTATGTACTAAGCTGTTGGTAAAACTTAAAGTACATGCGTACTGTATAACCTTGCGAAGTACTCAAGGGTGTCTACATAAAAGGTGGATAGACGACTACGAAAAGGAGGCAGGGAGCTACTAGATGCAAATTATTGAGAGAGACCTATCAAAGTCAAAGTCAAAGCATTTATTTCAATTAAACCATATTTTGGTACTTTGGAAACATTAACAAATACAAAATAAATAGTAGTCTGTCAGTCAGTCCGTCAGTAAAGCTAGGTGAAGCTAGGTGATCATTCCACAATATAGATTCGAATGGAGAAGAACGAGCAAGAAACTCCATTCATTACTCTTTTTAAAGTATGTCCTACAATGTCTCTGATACATATTCCAATACTGTACGTATATATGAAAACAATGCAAAGACACGCTGGACGCATTATACTAATTACAAAACTTACTAAAATAAAAAAATCTTATAGTCTAACATGGTGCTTACATATATGCATACTGACAATCCATAAAAATAGTGCTTCTATATAAGAAAAAGGAAACTCTTTGTTTCAATCAAGAAATAAATGCTTGATGCCATAAGGAAATTAGACTGTCTACATTGTCTACATGTTCAGCGGTCTTGGACTGATATGATAAAAATGTAAACCCACTTTCCTCCTCAGGTATTCGACCTCCGTCAATGTCACCGACAGATGCAGTCTCAGGCGGCCACGGCCCAGGCGGCGGCCGCGGCGCAAGCTGCCGCCGTCGCCGGACATATACAGCCGCAACATCCCACCATGAACAAGTGTACGTACCTATCAGATATTTGTGTAGCTCTTGGCCAGTTAGTAGTTGCAGGAGAAATGCTTGTACTATAAAATAGAGCATTTTATTTGCACAAAACATGTATTGTGTAAGTCATAAGAATGCAATTTAACATATCATAATATAACTAATTATATCTTTGAGTCGTTTGGAGTTGACACGTTAGGACGTTAGACCTAGGCACTCTGAAGTGCCTACTATATCTAAAAATCTTTCGAAACGCCTGATCGACGTGTCTCTAGTCTGTTTCTCGGTCAGAGGTTAAGGATTGCCATACAACGCGGCAATGCTGCCTTCTGTGTATTTTCCCTATTGACATCGATTCGGACGAATTTTTTGATGCTCTCTGTAAATAGTCATTTTTAGTTTTCTTTTATTTAATTTTCTGTTTTAGTTTTAGTGTCTCTTAGTTGTACATATTTATTTATTTTTTCCTTTCCTTATATTGTACGAAGAAATAAATAATAATTATTTACATAAGCATAAGCTGAATTCGAATAGTTGTTGTTAGGCTACTGCCATAGATAAATTAGGTATTTTTTGTTGCGCATAAAGTGCATAAACCATATTTTTGCTCTAAATATATGTAGTTTTCCATTTCATTTCAACTTTACTTAGTTCCAATATTTTTTTAATTTAATGTCAAATGGCCAAGAGTGTTAAAATCATCCTTAGCATCTATAGTACGTTAGTAATCCTATAGTTACATAGACTGTAGTAATTAGTTCAAGTCAATTTATTACAATAAAGGATCATTATACTTCTCACACTATGTTCTTCAATTATACAGGTATTTTATCATCATCATCAGACATTGCGTTTTTAAATTCCATGATATTAGCATGATGTAGTTTAATGTAGCTTTTAGCTTTAGATCTTCCTAAAATAACTTCACAACAAACAACAGATCCGAAAATTCCAAAATGGCGAGCTTCTTTATAACCATATCTCGTCCATGTGTGTCTGAAGCGTATGACATGTCGACAGGTCTGTCTGCAGCGGCCGGCATCGGAGTGGACGACCTGCGGCGACTGTGCATCGTGAGGCTTTCCTTCGTCAAGGGCTGGGGACCTGACTACCCCCGCACTTCTATCAAGGAGACGCCCTGCTGGGTCGAGGTTCATTTGCATAGGTTAGTTGCAGTTTTCCTAAGGATTTTTGATATTAACTGATAAACAAAAATAGTAAGTTTAAATGTGTTGCCTTCTTACAATTCAATTTCGATGATGTTAGTAAGATTTTGTTTATTATATTATATATGCACAGGCAACGATTATTTCTAACACTACAAAATAATTCTTATTATAGATGTTTAGATTACAATTGAATGATTAACAAAATTTCTTTTTTCTAAATCCTCAGAGCCCTTCAGCTTTTGGACGAGGTCCTGCACACAATGCCAATCGACGGTCCTCGGAGCACCATCGAGTAGGAGTTGATCGGCTTCTTTTGAGGCCTTCGAGCGACCAGAGTCGCCCTGCGACCCCACGATAGTGCCAGACGGACGACTGTGTCGCCAGTGCAGTGATTGATAGAGAGTGACGTGACAGTGAACCGCGTGACCTACTACTCGTGACGAACGTGACCGACGTGACCAAGTAGTATGTCACACACTTCAAGAGTTGATGCCATATGAATAGCATTTATTTAAGTAATTATTCACAAAATTGTGATCACAAAATTTACGTATTTTGGCCTACGTCTTCCAAATTTAGTTTTGTCTTCCGGCACGAAATTTCCTTTGTTTCATTTGGTTTTGGTGATGAATTTGTTGGTTTTTGAATAAAATGTTTGCACCAGTCGTGGATGTGCATCGCTCGTGTAACGAAAGGTGAACTAGTTTATGTCTTGTATCTATTTATACTAATGTAAGTAGTTGCAGTATATAAGTTAATGTAATAGATATGTATAACAGTATTGAGATGGAACAAACTAAAGAACATATAAGGGATCTCAGTAAAATATTTTCACAAATCCTAAATGAAGTTATAAATAAATAATTTAAGATATTAATTATAATAAACAAAATACGAATAGAACGACGGATACAAACATTGTCATTGCTCAAACAATAAGAGATGAGTTCGTGGTTATATTTGTATTAACAAACGAATTTTAGTAACAGCTATACCAAATTAAGGCATTTTTATATTAAAGTCTAGTGTAGAGGATATATGACAAGACATAAATGTGGTTCAACTTGAAAGAAGCCAAATGGGAATAGCTTTCTATAGAGATAAGCTATAGCGTTGTTATAAGGTAGATACTAGCGTAACTTATGATATCTGTAAGTGTAGGGAGGGAGGGACGAGGCGTGTAGAGGGAAAGGCTGTATTTTTGTTAGCGTGAAGTGTGCCTCATTAGAGGAATTGCATGGACCACTAGAGGCCGTACAAATACACGCTCACAGTTTTCAGTAAGCGTGTATGCCGTACGGCTAATGTTTCGTTATTTATTTACTTTTGAAGTACAGACGCCCATGCAATTTCGCTAAGTCAATAGATGATCTGTGATGTGCTAACAAAACGTGTATAGTATGCGTGCGCGCACTCGAAGTCAGCTAAGGTATTGTCAGATTTTCGCTATGAAAAGTGTGACATTATTATTTTTCGGTAAATGTCTACACTAGGTCTAAGTTAAAAATAAAATGACATATTTTGTGTATGAGAATCAAATGGTTATAAATATTAAGGTTAGTAGTGGTGTTCTAAACAAGTATATGAGATTTTTTGTCGTTTGCTTAAGATTTGCTTTAATTATTATTACTTGGCAGATTAATAATTATCTTGTGTTGAATGATTTTATACAGCTGTTAGTGAATGTTAGTGTTTTCGATTTTTTTTATCGTAATTATTTTGTTAAGGCGAAACGATCGATGATAAACTAATATAGTGTTTATTGTAACTTTATAAAAGAGGATTATGCTTGCAGTTTTTACATAAAATAATCAGTTTATAATAATTATGTTCGATTTTACGTTGTAACGAGTGATCATCACAAAATATTATATTATTTTTGTTATTGCTTAATCGGTTTAGTTTATGCATCGGAATTTTACAATTATGAATATTGTTACCAATGTCTTTGTAAAGATTCGGATTATGCAAGTTTTGTAAATAGTACAATTTATTGAGAATATTTTTAATATGAAGCGAGGCGTTGTCGCTCCCCTTACAAACAAAGAAATCGCGAGAGTAATAAGAAAGTATGTTCAATAAAATATTAAATTCTCTTAGTGGGCTTTTCACAAATTCGTGTATCAAAAATACCTCTTTATAGTGATGACAAAGGATACAAAGGGTTTTAGATGATATTAGATACGTGGTAAGTTTTTTAAATGATGTTGAAGTTTTGAATAAATAAAGATATTTGACAAATTCTACATAGGACAGTTGACAGATATAGAGAGCCGAATATTTAGACCTCTCGCGTACAATTTATTGTAAAACCATTGACTAACCAATTATTGGAGATATACCGAAGTTATCCAAAGTTTGAAGACTTAATAATTGTTGTTCGTACGAACATTAATTAACTATGGCTTTTGTATATAAACGCGTCGTATTCTTGTTCTAAACAAGTTATTGTACGTTCTCAAAGTTGGACCTTCTCCTGTGAATTTTGAAGTTGCAAGCGATTTAAGATGTTATTGTGATTAGCATAAGGTCTGCCAAGGTAGAACGTGATTGGTAGCATTCTAGTTGATATTAAGAGTTAGTTTTGACGTTTGATCTACTCGCCTAACACACATGAGATGGAAGCTACTTATAAAAGTTGGTCTCGTAGTTTATAGATTACACATGCACTGAAAAGATCAACTTATATTGGTAGTCTCTGAAGCTTAGTACGAGTTGTTTTACGCTTAAAGTAATCGTAACGAGTACGCGTTCAGCGCTCTGAGGGCCAAGTACGAATAACTATCGCATTCGTATCGTAACAGTATCGAGCGAGTCAAGCGTTCTGATTGGTTGGTTCACTTGAGCCGGCCAATCAGAGCGCTGAACGCGATCGATACTATTACGTTACGAATTATTCGTGCTTGGCACTGATTGGTTGGTTCATTGGCGCCTGCCAATCAGATTGCCGAACGCGTACTCGTTTCGAATACTTTAAACGTAAATTAAACTCGTACTAAGGCCACTGATCTGATGGTTGTTACATCGTCATTAAACATCTAAAAGGCGAGTGGGAATGATGAAAGCACTAACAAATTAATTATACTTGAGTTCGACAACTAAATAGGGTAAAAATCTTGTCATAAATGTTGTAAAACAGTGTCCTCGCAATTTTTAAATAGGAATTATGTGAATTCTAATAATATTAAGAAACTGCCATGTATTTTTGACATTACACTATTGTTTTTCACATAAAAGCTGATTAACGGAGGGATGTAGAATGCACATCGTGTAACGTAGCCTTAAGCGCATAGTTAAGTGGAACTATGGAAGAAATGAATATAAAGGTTATTCCTCTTATAGTCGTTTTATTTGTGTCTTGTGTATTAAGGATATGTCACTAGGGGACTGATGTCCTGTGACACGAGCCACCAGCGACGTCGGGTGAAGGAGTGCGACGTTGCCGAACTTTGGTCGACATGTCTGACAACATCAACGTCGCTGTGGGCGTAACGCACGCGATGTCGCCTTATAATTTGTCCTCTAGCTAGTGTATCCTTGGCTTTACCCCAATTTATTTATCTCTGGAAAAGACTGATGGGGTAGGTAGAAGAGAACGAGAAAGAGTCACCAAAGTATAGGGGTAAATGTCACCTACTAATTCCTAGATATTTCTGGTTTCCTGGTTATCAAGCTGACATAGTTACGTAGTTATATGATTGTTTTTTAAATCTAACTTTTTTTTTTATTTTAGTATTTTTTTTTTATTTTAGTTTAATTCTATTTACTTTACTTTCTATTTTTCTTTACCTAGCGCAAAACTAAGTTGCAAGTTAAATGTTCAAAGGCGGCAGATGGTAACTTAATACGCAATACGTTTCATTTACTTGTTATTCTCTAACTCTTGATAAAAGTAAGATCATTTGAATTTCACATCGTGTTTAGGAAACAGGTGTTTTATATGACCTATGACGTCATTGCCGTCACATTGCAGCCACGGAACAGACTGCGCGTTATCCACGCAAAGATTTCAAATTAAACGGAATGCATGTAAATAAAATTATTTCGTTAGTCCAGTGTTTACAAGTGCGACTGTCGAGGATACGGACAAAGTAGTATTGGATTTTTTTTATAATTTTTCATGTAGTGATAGTGACCGGAATAGCGTAGTTTCTTAAATTTTATTTTAGTGTCCGTCTGGTACATTGAATCTAGACACGTATTTCTTCTTTTCGAATAAAATGAAATACTTTCGACGATATATTAATTTGAAACATCGTGTGACGTCACAGCGTGGCAAATTTTGTAGCACGTTATGACTTAACGACCTTCCACTCCTAAACTTAGCGCCATTTTATCTAAGTATTGCAACTTAAACTGTCAAACACCAAGCGGTCACCGGTGACCGCGACCTATTGTTCTTTAATTGTGTCTATAAAACCGGTACTCGACGAGTTAATACGAGAAAATAAAAAAATACGTGCCTAATATGATTTCATGATCTAACTGACGGACTAATAAAACTAAGAAAAGAAATATAAAAGTTATATTTCCTAGAAATCTTAAACAGAACATACATAACATAACATCACACCTTTTATCTCCGAAGGGGTAGGCAGAGGTGCAAGCATATTACGGCACTTAATGCCACTGTATGTACAATATAACATCCACTTTTCACTATTTATATTGTGGGTCCCATGTAATAGGGGGTGAGTCTATTGCCATATACCGGGCACAATTCCAGACTTCGTGTTACTACTGAGAAGCGACCTATTGTTCTTTAACTCGTCGAGTACCGGTTTTATAGACACAATTAAAGAACAATAGGTCGCGGTCACCGGTGACCGCTTGGTGTTTGACAGTTTAATTGTGTCTATAAAACCGGTACTCGACGAGTTAAATAGAAATAAAACGTCTTGTAGTCTTGTACAATACCTACAGTTCTCTGTTAGTAAATATATTTTATTTTCACGAGAATACGATGTAAACATAGGCAGGTAAGTAGCTGGATAGACGTGGGTAAGTTTTGTGTAGTTCCAAGAATATACGTATTCCTCTGTGAGAATATGTTCCAAGAATATATTCCTCTACCATTTTATGTAACATTTCCAAGAAAGCAATATGTACCATTAATATCTTTTGTAAGAACTTGGTGATGTCGGTTCTGAACTGTTGAACTGTTTTAATACTTATAATATTTTTGTAAATATTCTAAAACGTTCTGGAACCACGAATAATTATTTATACAAGTCTAAATTTAGATGTGTGTGTGATTATTCATAGCGAAATCTGTATTCCAAACTTTATTGTCCTT